GACGCTCTTCCGATCTCCCCAAAACCCCAAAACCCCGCATATTATAAATAAAAAATTGATTGCAATATAATTAATTTAAATTTAATGGGATAAATTGATAGGTAAGATATGAATCCAAAGAACAAAATAATTAATGATCCTGAAAAATAAGAATAATTAGACAGGGAGATCAAGCGAAAGAAGTTAGCTATAATTCTTGATTAAGATAAAGTAAATTCTACATTGAATGATATTAAATTCTATTCTAGATTGATATTTTAAGTTTAAAATAAGAATGTTTATCAAAGTATGGACTTTTGGACAATGAAAACAGATTAAAAGCATGGCCCCTTCTATTAAATGCTAATATTCTAGTTGATGATAATGGAGTCTCACAGAATGAATCCTTGATTTCATCAAGAACAACAATAGATAGTAATAGATCGTTTAAGCCAACTGAGAAGATTAAATCACTTAAATAGGAAATAGACTGGGCAAGTATGATAATAATCAATTTATATAATCACCTATTTTTAGAGTTCATTAAGCCCCACAGAGATTCTGATCAAATTGATAAAGATATTAAACGCTCATTAAATACCTATGATATTTGTAAATCCTACGAAAAGTCTAATAAGTATGTTTCATTTGACTTGATTATTTAATAAGGAAGCATAAGCGTTAATAACTGAGCAACATTATTCATGCTATTTTGGTTAAAAACTAGGAACTATATTATTATCAAGGCTATCATGACTTTGTATCTGTTTTCCTTTTGACTCTTGGAGAGAATCTTGGATATTATTGCTCAGAAATTGCTTCACGACATTTCATTAGGGATTATATGTTAAAAACATTTGAAGAAGGAATCATTCCTTTATTAACATTGCTGATGAAACTTTTGGAAGAGCTAGACTAGGATATATACGATATGGTTGAATAAGGAGTTATGGGACAACCCACCTTCACCTTATCTTGGATACTGACTTGGTTCAGTCATGATATTGATAAATTTACAGATGTATAGCGCATATACGATGCATGTTTGGCTTCACATCCACTTTATGTAGTGTACATGGCAGTTGCAGTAATTCTAATGAACAAACAATCAATTGATGAAGAGTTTGATTATGATGATCCTATGGTTTCTATCTAAATCGTTTTCCAAAACATAGCTAAAAAATCATCAGATTTCAATGTGGAGACAATTATATAGCAAGCTAACAAATTAATCATTAAAATGCCTCCTGAAAAATTTATCAACTCACAATCCTCAAAACTCAAATAAGATAGTCCATTTATAAAATACCAATTAGATTAGTACTATCAGCAAAATAATTTATTGAAGAATTCAATGCCTAAAAAAGAGGCAGGTATAATAAAAAACGTGAATTAATTATTTTACAGTACAGCAATATGGGTTACTTTTTTTGCTGTAACTGTTTACAGTATGAGTTCATAGAAACCTTAATGAATTCCTAGGACGAGAAACATATAATTAAATATAGGAGAATTAAGGATAAAATTAATTGTCAACTTTTAAATTAAAGTGTGCAGTAATCTTATATATTTGAATAATCTTTGTTGAAAATCAAAGTAAAGGGGTTTTGGGGTTTTGGGGAGATCGGAA